ATTATTTAGGTATAATTCTAATAAACATGTGTGAAATTTATATGCTGAAAGTCATACTAACAAAATACATGTTAAAATTACTAAATGAATGGAGAAGTATACCATGTTCATGGATTGGAAGACTCAAAATTCTCCCCAAATTGATAAATAATTCTCCCGAATTGACAAAAAGTTTTAATTCAGCTCCTATCAAAATCCCTGCAAGATTTATTGTGGACTACAGGCAAGATTATTCTAAACTGTATATAGATAGGCAAAGGAACTACAACAGAATACCTAGAATAATCTTGATGGAGATGATTGAAAAATCAGTGTGCCCCCTATTATATAGTCTTGTCATCAAGATTGCATGTCAATGCAGAGAAATAGACACATAGATCAGTAGAATAAAGTAGAGAATACAGAAGTAAATCAACACATTATACTCAACTGATTTTGACAAGATGCAAAAGCAACTGAACAGAGGAAAATTAGCTTTTTCAACAAATGGTACTAAAGCAATTAGACATCCACAGGCAAAAAAAAAAAAAGAAAAAAGAAAAATTCATGCATTGTATAGAAATTAATTTAAAAGAATCATAAAACATAAAACCATAAGATTTTTAGAAAAAAATCTTCAGGCAGAACCTGACAGAGAAAATCTGGAAGAGTAGAATCAGAGTAGAATCACAGCAGCAAGGAGATGATGGAAAAGAAATTCAAAGTAAGGAATGGAAACAGGGTCAGGAACTCTCAAAAACAAAGCTAATATATTTTTAGCAGTATGACAAAAAAAGAGAGAGAGAGAGAGAGAGCTCTCCAAAGTTAAAGGAAACTTTCCTGAATTATGCCTCCTCCTAAAAATCGAAGAAATTAATTTTACAAAAAAATTAACAACAGAGATGGACCAACAGGTGATCTGGTGGTTAAGGCATTGGATCCCACATGGCTGACTATGTAGTTTAAGTTCCAGACCCAGTGACTTGAAAAACACTCCAGGTATGTGTGCATGTATGCCCAAAATTACTAAAAGGAGAATGGAGAAGATACTGTGATGTAGTCATTCCATGATTCCTCGCCTTCTTTCTCTGTCTCTCTCTAGCAAGCGCATGTGCCCTGTAGCAAAAAATTAATTAATTAATTAATTAAATTATTATCAAACATTTTTATTTGCCACAGAGCACATACACTTTCCAGAGACAGATTGAGAGAGTGAGAGTGAGAAAGCATCCCCAGGAGAGATGACCATGACACAATCTCATCTCCTCCATTCTCAATTCATGATTACATGCACACTCGGCATGTTTTTCAAGACACCACGTCCAGAACTCAAACTGTGCACTTGGCCATGTGGGATCCAGCTGACTTAACCACCATTCCACTCTCCTGGCCCCAACTGTCATCAAACTTTTTGATAACAATGTTACATTAAAATGTAGTAATATTTTTAAGAAACTCAAGAGCAGAAAATAGGAACCAAGATTTTTATATCCAGCAAAACTGACTTTCAACTGTAAAGTACAAGAACTTCCTGCTATGAGTATCTTGTCCCACCAAAATTCATGAGCTGAGTCCTAACTTACAATGTGATCAAATTAAGAGGTGGTACCTTTGGGAGTTCATAAGGCAGAGACCTCATGAATGGAATTATTAAAAAGACCCCAGAGATTTCCTTCACTCCTTTCATCATATGAGAAATTAGTGAGCAACGAGTTCCTCAGTAAAACTTGATGATGCTGGCACTGATAATAGAATTTCAGACTTTAGAACTGTGACTGGTGCATTCTGTTTTTTATAAATCACCCAATCTATGGTGGTTTGTTACAACAGCTTGAACATACTAAGGCACTCCCCTAAGGTCTTCCTGAGGAACCTGGTAGAGAAAGAGCTTCAAATGATCACAATGACTACATCAGTAGTTCACAAACATTTTGGTATCAGAATCTCATTGCTTTCTTAAAAATTGAAACCTCAAAGAGCTTTAGTATATGTGAGTTACATCAAGCAACATGAATATTTATGTGTTTTTAAATAACAGTAGTAAACTTATAATATGTTAACACTAATAAAATATCATTATGGGAAAATAGCTATAGTTTCCAGCACAGAAAAACAGTAAAAAAGGGAGCATAGTTTTACATCTTTAAAAATCTCTTTAATGTGTGACTTAGTTAAAAAAAAAAAAAGTTCAATTATATATTCTTTCTTTTCCATTCAATCTGTAGCAATATGTTGTTTTAGTTGAAGTACATAAAGATAATCTGGCATCACTCAATTATGTACTTGGAAAGGGAAGACTTTTTTTTTTTTCCAGAGGGCACACACACACTTGCCAGCAAGAGAGAGAGACAGAGACAAAGGGCGAGTGAGAGGGAGAAAGCACCCCCTCCTATGGGGCATGATCACGTCACAATTCCTTCTCCTTCATTCCTTCATCCCATAGGAATTTTGGACACTTACACACATGTGCCTACTTGGGTTTTCAAGCCTCTGGGGCCAGAATTCAAACTTTTTGGTCAGCCATGTTGGATCCAGCTCCATTAGCCACGAGGTCCAGGGAAGAAGAACTTTAATATCCTTTTCAGCTATCTTTGATATTATTCTCTGATAAAACATCTAAACTCAACAAATAGTAGTTATAGGTTAGTTGCAATATGGAATCTGAAACCTCATCAATAAACTTGTCATATTCTATTATGTTAAATTTCATTGGTCTATGTTTCACTCTGAATGGATTTTTATCCATGTACAATTTCATAATTTCAAGCATTGGTCACTTAGAAAGTTATACAGATCTTTAAAATGTTGACACATTTCATAAACAATGTTTTTAAAAGCCATATTCACTGATATCACCACCAATGACATCAGAAAAATCTTAAAATAATGGTAAGCTATAGAAAACATGCTTTTCAAAATTTTTATTTTCTCTTAAAAATCTAATTTTCACTGTCAATATCATTTTCCTTGAAGTGGTAGGTTCATTTTGTTTATTTCGAGAAAATAGGACCAGCAGATGGCATAATGGTTACGTCACTGGACTCCCACGTAGTAAGCCATGGTTCAAGTCCTAGACCTGGTGACTTAAAATTCATACTGAGCATGTGTGCGTGCATGCCCAAGATCCCAAGAGGAGAATGGAGGAGAAGAGACTGTGGCATGGCCATTCCCCCAGGGGATGATTTCTCACTTTCTGTCTGTCTCTGTCTGTCCCGTGAACAGACCTAGTTGATGAGCATCAATGGTGCTAACATCACAAAAAGAGAAACAAATGTCCAGAATGAATCTTAAGGTGAAAGACCACAACTTTCCAAAAGGATCAAACCAGGGTCTGATCCAGCCTCTGTACCTAGGGGCCCATTTATAGGACGTGCAGAGGACAGGAATGTGTTAAACTGTACTATGTGCATACGGTCAGCAAAATCAGGAGTGTGGGAGACTCTTCAGGTCAAATGACTCACTCAGGCTTTCCAACACCTTAATCATAAGGAAAAGAAAGGGATAGAGAAGAAACCTGTGAAGCGTAACAGACAGTTAAGTCTGGTGTCCAGGAGTGCACACTTGGGTGAATGACTATAAAGAAATACAAGAGGGACCAGCAGTTGGTGTAATGGCTATGTCGCTGGACTCCCACATAGTCGACCGCGGTTCAAGTCCCAGACCCAGTGGCTTAAAACTCACGCCGGGCGCGTGTGCGTGTGTGCCCAAGATCCCAAGAGGAGAATGGAGGAGAAGGGATTGCGGTGAGGCCATCCCTCCTGGGGGGTGATTTCTCGCTTTCTGTCTCTCTGTCTCCGTCTGTCTGGTGAGCACATGCGCCCTATAGCAAAAACCTCTCAAAAAATATATATATAAGAAAGTGGTTACTCTACAAGTCACACGTGATTACTTTTGAAGGGAGAAAGAGGTAGAGATTGGCCTGGGGCACATGGAATCCTCTGCAGTAGCTGGCAAGTTCTGTTTCTTGACCTGAGTGATGATTGCAGGGTTTTAAATAATCCATTAAATGATACATTGTGGTTTTCTGTATCCCTGTTTTATTTTTTTTAAGTTTTTAAAAACACAGTGACACTCTGAACATTTGTCTTCCAAAGACTATGGAGACTGCAGTTGGGAGATAGAAATACTGGGGGTAAGACTATGGAGTTAGGGTCGGCCCTAACAGTTCTGAGGTGAAGGAATAGATCTTAGAGGGGTTTCCAAACAGTATCTTCAAATAGGAACAAAGTTAGGAAGAAGGGCGGGTGGGTGGAAGATGCACAATCTCAGAAAACAAAACACCAGAATCAGTTCAAGACTCCAGACTCCTCCAAGGTTCAAGGAGGAAAGTTATACCCAGAACATTCCAGAACCTCATAAATGTCCTTTGCTAGCTTCGGGTCCAGGCCGCTCTGTACAACTTCAGGCTCCAGGAGATAGCTTCAGTCAGACCCTGCGAACACCTGCAGTGGGAGAACAGCCCAGGAGGTCTGCAGAACAGACCTAAGGTCTTGGGCGGCAACCCCACCCTCCCATTCCAGGGACTCAGGAAGCGGTACCACCCAGCCAGAACCACCCTGTGCCCCTGATCCCCGGTGTTTCTCTCTAACTAAAGGACCAGTAAAATTACCTGCAACTCAAAGACAAAGAATAAAAGATATTACCTACCTCATCACCAGAAAATCGAGTCTCTATGTATCCTGGGGAAAATAGAAAAAACAACCCCACCCTCCCATTCCAGGGACTCAGGAAGCGGTACCACCCAGCCAGAACCACCCTGTGCCCCTGATCCCCGGTGTTTCTCTCTAACTAAAGGACCAGTAAAATTACCTGCAACTCAAAGACAAAGAATAAAAGATATTACCTACCTCATCACCAGAAAATCGAGTCTCTATGTATCCTGGGGAAAATAGAAAAAAATAGAACACCCCAATTAGGACAGAGGACGCTCTCTCTCCTTATGCCCTGGAATGTTTCTGGCTTCAGAAAAGACTACCCAGTGGTCCCTGAGAAGTACAGTCATGGTTCCTCGTTTCAGGTATTTGATGTTAGGGAAGGTGGGAAGTGGGGGAAGCCACAGGCCCTTCTTTAGGGCCCCATCAGAGGCTCATTACCTTTCCGAGCCCTGAGGTGGATGACGACCCCCAACAGAAGGAAGATAAACCCAAGTAGGAAGGCTATAGCTCCACTTAGCATCTTTGTCCACGAATATTCAGATTGAGCTCCTGCAGGAAAGAAGAGAGTGTATATCAATAATTAGAATATTTTATAAGAAGAAATCCTACAAAAGCATGCAATTTAAGAATGTATAGACTTGGAGCTGTCAGGTGGTTTGGTAGTTAAGGTTTCTGGACTCCCACCTGGCTGACTGTGGTTCGAGTCCTGGACCTGGCGGCTTGCTTTATCTATCTGTCTGTCTCTCATTCTGTCCTTCTCTGGTCAA